TAAAAAATTCACCTGCATGCATATTATTTCAGAAAAAGTCATGGTCGTTAGAAAGAAATCGGTATGTATATTTACGTATTTTTAATTTATTTTTCGTTAAATTAGAGTATTGTTCAAATTTTAAATCTTATTTTGATATAACAAATTTTTTTTTTTTTAAATCTGATATGGATCTATAACATTTTAAAGCAAAAACGAGGAAAAAATTCATCTGCATGTATATTAGAAGAAATTCGAAGAACTTGTATGGTCGATCTCAGTCGACGGTGGCGCCTGGACAAGACGGAAACAGCCGGCCCCAACAACAGTAGTGTCGAGCCCTGTTGTTTCGCCTGGATGGATCGATGGCCCGAACTGCCTAAAAATTTTCCCCATTTTCCCTGTATAATTATAATTTCTTAACCAATTATGTTTTCCTTATGCAGATATGGGTTCGGCTGCAATTTCGATTTGCTATTTTAGTAAATTTTAAATGAACGAAAATGAGCAATAGTTATGGAAATGGACGAGCGAAAGACATGGTACTACTGCAATTGTGATAAGATCCATTACATCGTATGCAGAAATATACCATGAATTATAGAACATGCTCGTCGTTGATCCTTCTCAGTACGACATGTAATTGGGATTCCTGCTCGGCGAGCATGCATCCAGTTCAATTCTGTATATAATGGTTACTTCTGAAGCTGAGATGAATGTTTTAATTGAATTGAACCAGAATCCCTCAATTCCTATTCGCATAAGTTTAGCGAAGAAGATTAACCCGATGAACATGAAGATTTTGATGGAGAGGATCGTAATGTGAATGATTTGTGGGACACAGTAGAGATTGTTCGTGAGGATGATGTGGCTATTCCTGAGACAATTGTTCCTCACCATGACCTCACTGTTACGCACAGAATTTCGTCGACAGTTGGAGACAATGAGAATGGAAATGAATTTACAAATGAGGACTTAGTTACGTTATCCCGTCGGAGATATGAGTTGGGGGGAGTTCACAGGTTGGAACGAGTACATGATCCTCTAATTGTTTACGTGTAGCTCCAGATGATGAAAATTTGTATGTCGAGCAACTATCAAAACAAAGAAAGTTTTGCGGGAAGCTATTCACCGGATTGCTTTGAAACATAATTTTAAGTTTAAAGTGAAAAAATCAAATAAGTCGATATACACAATTATCTGCGTTGACAATAGTTGTCATTGGCATATGCGAGCTACAGAGATGGACATGCACGAGTTCTTTGTTGTTTGTAAGTATGCACGAGAACATACCTGCGAGGTTGGTATTCGTCAAAACGATCACAAATAGGTTAGATCATAGTTGGTCGACAAATAATGCATAAGTTTCATGATCCACGAACGATCTATAGACATTCGGACATCATTAACGACGTTCGTCGAGAATATGTAGTGGTCATGAGCTATCAGAAGATCTGGAAGGCCAAGGAATCCGCATTGGAGGACTTAACGAGTTTGGTCGAGGATAATTATGCTAAATGAGTCAGGTATTGCCATAACAAGGGGAGAACCAATCCTGGATTGACGTTTGCTATTGAGACGGATGGTGATAATTGCTTCAAATATTTCTTCATGGCCCTTGAACAATGCATTTGAGGGTTTCGAAATGCGATGCGATCCCTAATTCTAGTCGACGGTACAACCCTTAAAACTAGATACAAAGGTAAGTTAATTATTGCAATATGTCAAGATGTCAACATCCAAATTTATCCTTTTGCATTCGACATAGTTGAGGGAAAGAATGATCTAGCGATGCGTTGGTTCTTCATGAAGTTAAGGAAAGTAATCGGGGACGTTGAGGACTTTGCATTCGTAACTGACTGAGGGCAATCAATAATAAATGGTATCGCCAAAATCTTTCTCAAGGCACATTATGGTTATTGTATGTACCATATACAGGGCAACCTGAAAGACTAGGTATCGGGACAGTAGCGTTGTTGCATTGGTTAAGAGAGCCGTAGAGGCTTATAGTTTTTCACGAGTAACTGTCATTTGTTCATGAAAATATTCATTCAACAGCTTCCAATTCCTCGAAATACGAGCCATCCGGCTTTTGCGTCTGTACATCTCAAATAAATGACGAGAACAAACTCGAATATGGAGAACGTTGTTACCTTACCCCCAAGATCAAAATGGATGGCATCTCCGTTAACTGGCTTAAGCAGCCGACATAGCAGGGCATCGAGTAGTTGCCCAGAAAATTGCATAGTGTGCAACGAATGCAATGGTCTTAAGCACGATCAACGTAATAAGTTTGCGTGCTCGTTATCTAGCAAATCTAATACCGAAGTGAAATTGACAAAGTTATAGTTCAACATACCTTTATCGAGGATCTGTCTGACGACGTCGTCCAGATGATTTTCCATCCTACAACATTTCAAATATTAGAACCTCGTGTAAGAGATAATTGATAAACAAAAATATTAGAAATTTAAACTAACAAACTGCTACTAACACAATAATTAACAGATAATGGAATAAAGGAAATGAACGTAAATTAATATTTTAATTGCTTAATTTAATTATTTTATTAATACTTAATTTAATTATCTTTATATTTAAATACTTAATTTAATTGTTTATGTATATTACTTATTTAGTATTTAATTATTTTACTAATACTTAATTTAATTGTTTATTTTAATATTTTAATTACTTCTTTTATTTGCTTAATTTAATTAATTTGTTAATACTTAATTTAATTGTTTTTATGTTTAAATAATTATTTTAATTGTTTATGTATATTACTTATTTAATATTTAATTAATTATTTAATTATTTTACTAATACTTAATTTGATCGTTTATTTTAATATTTTAATTACTTATTTTAATTGCTTAATTTAATTATTTTATTAATACTTAATCGTTTATTTTTATATAAAAATACTTATTTTAATTGTTTATATATATTACTTATTTAATATTTAATTATTTTACTAATACTTAATTTAATCGTCTATTTTAATATTTTAATTACTTCTTTTAATTGCTTAATGTATTAATACTTAATTTAATTTTTTTTATGTTTAAATAATTATTTTAGTTATTTATGTATATTACTTATTTAATATTTAATTTTTTATTTTACTTATTTTACTTACTTAATTTGATTGTTTATTTTAATATTTTAATTACTTATTTTAATTGCTTAATCAAATTGCTTTATTAATAATTAATTTAATTGTTTATTTGATATTTAAATACTTAATTTAATTATTTATGTACATTACTTATTTAAAATTCAATTATTTATTTTAATTATTTTACTAACGCTTAACATAAAATAAGTAATTAAACTAAATTAGTAAATATTAAATATTTAGATAAATAATAAAATATTTATATTAAGAATTTAAAATAAATAATTTTAAATACATAACTGAAATAAATAAATAACAATTAGGCAGTTAATAATATAATTAAATACATAATATACAAAAAATTAATCAATTCAAATAAATAATTAAATATTAGACAACAAAATATAAGTAATTAAAATAAATAATTAAATATTTAAATAAACAATTAACTTTAATAATTAAAGTAAATAAATAAATATTACGTACTAAATAAACAATATAAATAAGTAATTAAAATAAACAAAAAAATTAAAAAATTAAAGCCTAGGCCGGCTGGCCCAAATGGCCCAGAAGAGAGTGGGCTGTCTGGATTTCCAGGCTACCAACCATGGGCCGTCTGGGTTAGAATGATTTAGATGGCCCAGGCAATCTAGGCCGCCTGCTCTGATTGTCGAAAATCATCATTTCCGACGATCTCTACCATTTTTGTGCTCCCCAGCATGAATTATTTGTCCAAATTACAAATCACAACCATAAACACAAGGATTTCTCAACAAATATACATATAAACATGCTTTATTTTAAATAAAACAACTTACCTTCTTCAGACGAAGTTCAGAGAAATGGCCAATTGGGTTGTCAATTTTTTTGCCTTCTTGGTCGGTGTTTGGGTCGTCGGTGGTCATTGCTACAGTAACTTCCATTTTTTGCCTTGCTCTCTTCGAAATGGTAACGGTAAAAGGGCATTTTTCTTGATTTTCAAGTATTTAAACATTTTTGCTTTTTTTCTTTAATTTGGTCAAAGGCCTCTTTGAAAAGATGGCCGGGTCAACTGGTTATCTCCACTAATTCCTCGAGCTTATACATGGGCGGATCCGAGAGTGGACAGGGTGAGCTTATGCTCGCCCAACAACTAAAGTTTTTTTAGCTAGTTCATTACACCAAGTCGATATGCAGGTTTTTTAGTATCATTTTGAAGAAATCCAGATCAGCTACATAACACATTTTGAAATGAAAAAAAGGTTAAAGAGTGGACTCAATTACTAATCAAAGATAGAGATTTAAAATGAATTTAGTGCCTCTTTGCTTTGAATTAAAATTTGATTTTAATTTAAATCAAAGTCAAACAATAAATATTAACTACATTTTTTTATGGGTTTTACAATTTTTCAAGCACACATTTCAAAATCTTCTATCACAATCTATTAAAAAATATAATTTTAATTTCCACCAAATTGTAACTTAATTATTTATTAAGGGCACGTTTGGTAGGGATTTTGAGAATTGATTTTTTGACTGTTAGAAAAAAAGTGGGGTCCACATATGAGAGAAGAAGTAAAAAATGACGGTTTCAATAGTAAAATAACGGTCAAAAAATTAATTTTTTGGGGCAAAAAATTCCTACCAAACGGGGCCTAGGTTTCAATAGACTTTGATGTCAATTTAAATAAAATTCTATTTAACCTGAATTGGGACTCTTTTGGTTAGAATAATTATAAAAATAAAAATTTCAAGCCCACTACTGCTTATTCCTGGGTTCACCCCAGGCGCAATCCAGACCGACACGAGCTGGATTTGGTGGGAACATTTTCTGAGGAATCAAAAAAAAAAATGGCGGGAAATCCACCCAATCGCGTCCACTTCTTTCCCGCTAAAACAACAAAATTTCCCACCAACTATATATAAGAATAGAGCCACTATTGCTCCGTTCCATTTCCAACACACCAGCCTTCCTCAAAACCTAATAAGATGCTGTCCATCGCTGGAAGTCGCTCATCACCGATCACCGATCCGAAGGCGGAGATCGGAAGCGCTACACCGCAGAAACGCTGCCTGAGATCTGATTCGGCTCGGATTGGAAAAACTCGGATCCCTTCTACTCCGTTGCCCGTGCAGACTTCTCCCTTGAAACGGAAGTCGCCTCGCATATGCGTTAATGACAGCCCTAATAGTCCCCTGAAAGTGAGTTCAATTAATTCATTAATGGCTGTAGATCTTTAGTTGATGCTCATTTAATGAATAAGTTTAATCTAATTTAGACATTCAGAAATTTTATTGTAATTAAAATTGTAATATTGGATAAATTTAGTGTCACTGACGAGTTCATTTTATTTGGATCCCATTTATTACATTATGTTAGTTGCTATCATTAACTAATTGATGCAATAATTCACGAGGCTTGCTCATGATTGCAGGTAATTGAGAAATCATTCACGAATTCAAGCAAATCGCCAGTTAAGAAGAGATTATCGGACTGCTTTCTTGACAAACCAGCATGGGATCCCAGTGGCAAGTTATCTAGCTTTGTTTTGCAATAAATTAGGTTTTCTTCAATCGAGATTTATGAATATGTCTGAATGTGGTCTGGATTCAACGTTTTATTTCTTTTTGAGTTTCAAAGACGTGATTTATATTAATAGATGTGGAGCAATTGTGTGCTGTTAAGGAGGCATTACATGTATCCACGGCTCCAACCGCACTCGTGTGTCGAGAAGATGAGCAAAACAAGATTTTGCTGTTCTGCAGGGAATGTGTTGAGCTAGAGAAAGCTGGGAGTTTATATGTATGTGGGTGTCCGGGGACGGGAAAGTCTTTGTCAATGGAAAAAGTAAAAGAGGACATAGTCAATTGGGCGACGGAGGTAAGTAGTATTGATCGCTATTGACGATGCTGAATATTGGTTGCCAAATATGTTACATTATTCTAATAGATGTTGTATGATTTGCATTTTTGCCCCTTGACAAACAAATATTAATGAAATGAGAAATTTCGGTTATCCATGTCATGTTTTCCAACTTTCTTTATTTCTCATTTTTGCAAATTCATGGTTAACTGATGATTGAAGTTTGAACTATTACTAGTGATGTGGCAGAATGCCATTCACTTGAATAGTATAATTTAATAAGAGTGGGAAACATAGTAGTAATAGATTATGCTAGAAGTTATAATAATATCAGCCTGTTTGGGAGTGATTTTTTGGCCAAAAAAATTGATTTTTTGACTGTTATTTCACTATTCCAGCCGTCATATTTGACTTCTTCTCTCATAGGTGGCCTCGTTTTTTCATAACAGTCAAAAATCAATTCTCAAAATCACTCCCAAACAGGCTCTATATTTGTTTGAAATTATTATGTTACGACACAACGCGAAACAAGGAATTCAAGCGAAAATCTTAAGAACACAAAATTTGGAAACCATTAAACTATGAAGAGGATAAATTCACAAATTTTATTAATGAAAAGATGATCAGAATAACTAAATAATCCCTTATTTTGAGGGTTTATTTGGAAAAATAGTTTAAGATGACTAAAATTAATGAAAATAAAGTTTAAACAAACTAAAATTGAAAAGAATCTAAAATAAACTAAATAACAAAAATAGTGCAAAAACCTTAAAATTATTTTTCAGTTCAAAACGAACTTGAATGGCTGAAATCTATTGTACATCATGGCATTGCGATTAGTATTACTCATCTCGTCGTCCTTTTTTTTGAAGTGGTTTGGGTCCAAATCGGAATTCAAATGTTATCTTTCCGCTGTTCCTTTTTTTTCCATTTTTATTCAATTCTTCCATTTTTTTTCAACAATATGCACTATATCAGTCCCTTTCACTTTCGAAGAATTCAACCCCGACTTGTAACCTGGATATAAATGCTTGTCATCTTTATGGAACTTATGCAAATTTGCTACTTTAAAAGTTCAAGAAATATCCAGAAGCTGGTAAATCAACAATGTATGCATTTTTGTTAGTTCGTTTAAACACTTCGAAAGAATCATACTTTCTTTGTTTCAACTTGTTGTAGGTACCAATGAAAAATCTCTCCTTTCTTAAAAACACTATCAATGAGTCTCATTTCTGAAATTGTTTATCTCGTTGATGTAAATCTGTTGTTGCCTCGTACTTTGCATTGTTTTACTTCATGATCTACTAACAACTTTCTTGCTAAATGTTCAGCAGCAATGTTCTTACTATTGCCTTTGTGCAACTTTACTAGATTTATCACATGTTAAGGAACCTCTGTTTACACAATATCAAATAGAGACTTACCTGTAGCGATATGAATTGCGCTATTGTATACAAATTACCCCTGAGGTTGTGCAAGATCCTATTCTTTAGGTTTATCTCCACAAATATTTCGAACTATATTTTCAAGGGTATGATTAGTCACCTTGGTTCATCCATCAATTTGGGGATGAGCAGTGCTATTTCAATTTAAATTGGTTCAAAATAACTTTCACAAGATAATCTTAAAGTGCCCTAAAAAACTTCGTATCCCGATCCGATGTGATAGACTTGAGAACTCTATGTAATCTAACAACTTCCCTAAAAATAGTTTGGTAATACTCGATGCATCTGAAGTCTTTTGACAAGCTATGAAGTAAGTCATTTTGAAGATCCTGTCAAGCACCACAAAAATAAAACCCGCCTCTCGTTGAGTACGAGGTAATCCCAGAACAAAATCCATAGCAAGATCTTGCCATATGCCCTGAAGGATTGGAATTGGCATGTACAACTCGGTATTCTACACACCTACGATGCTCGGACTCTCCAAAAATGAGGAAGTATCTATGTCGATACGACATGACATGGATACCGACACAGGATATGGGTCGGATTCTTGGCTTTGAACTTGGACACGGCTGGAAAATGGAGAAGACAATGGAAGGCGGAGTATTGCTTCTGGCTTGCGGTTGTGGTGGTAGGAAACCTGTTTATTTCGAGTCTGGTGATAGTAATATGAAGAAATATATGGACGAGTGTAAAATGGCAGCAGCATTTACAAATTGCAGAGAGGGAAGATAAGAGTTGGAGAAGATGAGATGGGTTTGGAGAAGATGACAGGTTTTGAGTATGTGTTAAATGGGATTTTGTGGAGCCCAATGAATAAGTTAATGAAATGAGTAAATTAGGTGGTTTAAAAGTCAACAATTCATGCTGCCATAAATTAGGGGATGTCTCTAGTCTCTTCCAGGTTGTATTATTTATTGTAATTGAAGTGATTTATTGTTTTATTTAAGATGAGATTAGTTTAATATTTAATTTTAAATTTGTTTGATCCAATAGTTTAAGTTACAATTATCCATTTTGAATAAATTCATAAAAATTGTAAGACGTATCCCCGTATCCATATTCAAAATTCGGATCCTTTTTAACTGTATCCCCATATCTTAATTTTTAAAATGAGAAGAATCCGATACCTAGATATGTACCCGTATCCGACACCCGCACCCGAGTCCGAGCAACATGGTTACACACTTCAGCTTCTTGAGGATACTGGATTCATGGCCTGCAAGCCAGCCCTCTTACCTATGGATCAAAAGGTTTGTTTATGCTCCTTTGAAGGTGATCTTCTTGCTGGTGCATCTATGTAGAGGAGATTGGTTAGCTGTTTACTCTACCTAACCATGCTTGACATTACATTTGCTGTACACAAGTTAAGCCAGTTTGTTTCTTAGCCTAGGCAACCTCATCTCAATGCAGTTCACCATCTGTTATGATATCTCAAGGCAACTCCAGGGCAAGGCCTTCTATTTTCAGCTCAATCTTCTTTCCAGCTTCATGCCTTTGCTAATGCAGATTGGGGGGGTTCTTGCATTGATACCAGGAACTGACTGATTTTGTGTCTTAGTGATTCTTTGATATCTTGGAAAGCTAAGAAACAAAACACCATGTCTCAATCCTCAGTTGAAGCAAATATAGAGCCCTTGCTTCAACTACTAGTGAGCTTATTTGGATTCAACAATTGCTTCTTAATTTTCAGATTTCATCCCATGCCCTTGCGTTGATATTCTGTGACAACTAGGTAGCCATCCACATTGCTACCTGTCCTATTTTCATGAGAGAACCAAATATATTGAGATCGATTGTCATTTCATCCGAGACAAGATTACCGATGGTTCTGTTAAACTTCTTCTTGTCCACACTCAACACCAACTAGCTGATATGTCCACTAACGCTTTACCTACCAATTTGTTATTTCCATTGATGTCCAAGATGGCGTTGTCAATCTTCATAGTCCGTCTAGTCTTGAGGAGGCGTAATAGAAGCTATGGAAGCATCTGGAAGCAAGTATTATGACGCATAGCTGGAAGTTATTTCACTGTTAGGGTGGTTATGGTAGTTAATCCACGTGTCAATTCTGTATTATTCCTTGTAATTGGTTTGTTAGATAGTCGTCTATTTATATCAAATTGTACAGGTCATTTCAATTACATAAGATCATTCAATATTCATTCTCATTTCTTCTAATACAAATTTTCACTTTAAGTGTATAATTAAACTAGAGTGGGAAATATAGTAATAATAGATAGGGATGGCAACGTGGTGGGTTCAGGGCAAGGGGGGCTTCCCTAATCCCTCCCTGTAGGGTATTTTCCCACCTCGTAGCTGTTTAAGGTGGGGCGGGATGGGTTCCTCGTTTGCGTACCCATTTAATATATATTTATTTTTTAGTTTTTGATAATTCATTTTAACGCCACTATTCATTCAAGTGAGTCAATAATATAGTTATTAAAATTTTTAATTATTTAATTTATTTTTAAAAGTTAAATTATTCAAATATATTTGGCGAACTAAAGTTTTTATTTTTTATTATATTCCTTAAATAATCTTAGTTACCATTTTTTATTAGAATTAATGAAATTTCATGAAGTTTTTCTATTTATTTCTTACCAATACATTTTAGAATAGTAGATTGATGGAAAATGTGTAATTAAAAAATAAAAAAAAAGTTTTGAGTTTACTTTAATATTCTTTTATTAAAAAAGAAAAAAAAAAGAAAAATGTATTTTAAAAATAATGAAAATCAAACAAGGGCTTAAAGTATTGAATTCTTAAAACAAATAAAATTAAAAGGGGTGGGGTGGGGACCTCTTACTCGTACCTGACTCAAGGCGAAATTCTTCGTCCTATTCTGGACTTGGTTACCCGATTAAGAGGGTAAAATCCCCCCATTTGGGGGTGGGTTCCCGCGAGTATCGAGTTTGATGGGTATTTTACCATCCCTAGTAATAGAATATGCAAGAAGTTATAATAATATGTTTGCTTGAAATTATTGTGCTAGTAAAATTTCTTAGTGGTATGAATCAAACTTGACACTTTCAATAAGACATTTTATGTGGTCATGAATTTCAATCCTCCCCTGTTTGTTTTCCTTAGATTTTGAGTTTTACAAATTGAACTCAGCTTTTGTATATTGCATTTATTATTTTTAAATGTTTTGGCATCTTTGTCAAGTTATTGTTTTCTCCAACATGACATTGATTCTGGATCTGCATATGGGAACGAGTTCGAAATCATGTGAATGGTGATGTTCCAATAAATTTGAGGATGAAATTTCTTGTAATTCAAAACGTGCTTCTCCTATGACAAAGGACTATTATTATAGTTTCTTCTATATTCTACGTGTATCTCTAGTCTATTATTACAAGTTTCTTTTTGGTGGTATCAGGCAGGTATTCAGCCTCCAGACACATTATCCATCAACTGCACCACTCTTACAAACGCTTCTGAGATTTTCAGCAAGGTACAACAATGTTACTTTCTCATATAACTCAAAAGCGAAAGCTTGGATATGATAACATGTTGGTGAATTCTTACAGATTGTTGGAAGAACTCAAACTCAGAGTAAAGCTAAAGGTTCTAAGTTACCATTACAAGACCTCCGCTACCTGTATTCTCAAAAGCAGCATCTACCTGGCACGAGGATGGTGTAAGTATTAGATTATTCAATTCTTGAACATCTTTAAAAAAGAGTTCTCCTGTCTGAAGATGATTATCACATTGCATGGTCTAACACGCATGCGCGCACACACACATATATACATGTCCGCGAGCGCACGCACACACATATATTGTTGTTGCTTATCGTTGAAAAATTAATTAGAGTTCTGTCTTCATTCAACTTAAATGTGGGACAGGTTAATCATTGCAGATGAGTTGGATTATTTAATCACCAAAGATCGGGCTGTGCTTCACGATCTTTTCATGCTAACAACAATGCCATTCTCAAGATGTATTTTGATCGGTATGCTCACTGTTCCATTGATTTGGTTCTGTTTCTGATGGTTCTCAGGCATGAAAGTGTTAAATGTCTTTTCCCATTACAGGGATCGCCAATGCTATTGACCTAGCTGATAGATTTCTTCCTAAACTGCAGTCTTTAAACTGTGAGTACATGTTTTCACATGAGACTATTTTTCAATATCCCCACTTATTATTTTGACCGTGCCAGGTATGTCAAAAAGAAAGGAGAACAAGAATTTTCTACTTTGCTTCTAATCACAAAACCTTTTCCTTGTGCCAGATTGATTATATGATTATAATGACTTGTTCTACATTACCTTGTGCATATCTACTTTTCATTTTGGAGTTTTTGTCAAGTGTCAACAATTGAACTTATTGTTTCTTTGTCTATTTGTGAGATGCAGTCTCTTTCATTTAGTCTAAATATGAATGGTTTCATAATCAAAATAAGTATCTGGTGCAGTGTGCTGCAACTGCCATCTCTTTTCTGTCCAATTGATTTCTATTTGGTACACGGATTGAGCAAGCTTACTGTTGGTTCTTTCTTCTACTAGGCAAACCTATGGTCATAACTTTTCGTGCCTACTCCAAGGATCAGATCATCACAATTCTTAAGCAGAGACTAATGGTAATTCTTTACTTACAGATACATATGCTGTTAATTTGCTTTGTCTGGGCAATATTTGTCACAAAAGAAAACTGATTCATTCCTGCCAATAGTTGAAGACATTAGGCTGGGTGAGGACCACAGAAGGAAAGTTTATATGATAAAATCACCTACAAATAGACTCCAAACCTTTAGATCTTTCAGTGTCTCAAAGCATAAAAATTGCCTGACCAAAAAAGTTCTGTGCTAAGAAATACTCATCTTCCAATCTCTCTCTATGTATTTCATTAAACAACTTGGTTATCGGGAAAAAATCAAACAGCTCTTTATGGCTGAGTGTGAAATTTTGTTACCGATAGTTAATTTAATATCATATTTAGTCCGATCGATTCTCGTGTACTTTCTGTCTATCAATGATACGGCTGGTTTGATCAAATAGATTCAACAATCATTTTAATCTGACTGCACATTCAACAGGCGCTTCCTTACACTGTTTTCCAGCCACAAGCATTGGAGCTCTGTGCTAGAGTGAGTTTAATCTCTACTATTCCCGTGTTTTGAATCTACATGGTTTCCCTTACTTTTCTTGTAGATTTGTAGTTCTGGCTATAATTTCCATTGCTATTAAGCTTTGCCCATTTAAGAGCATCGCATTGTATATCCATGTGTGCGGTTAAGGATTTTCATTTGCCTCTGAAAGTGTTCTAATTTAACACTTATGAATGCAGAAAGTTGCTGCTGCATCTGGAGATATGAGGAAGGCTCTTTCGATCTGCAGGTTTGCGCTTTCATTCTTATGCTGATCATTTGCATATGGCATTATAATGATAATTGGTTTAAGCACAAAACTGTTGCATAAAATCTGCCATAGATGCTAAAGTTTTTTGTTGGATACTGGATATAACAAAAGTTGAGATTTTGGGTTGCTTTTTTTCTGCGGAGAAACAGCAGTATCAATATTTTTATGTTGTTTTAGGAGTGCAATTGAGATGTTGGAAGCTGAAGTAAGAGACTCTTTCAGCAAGCTGAATTTGCCATCAGTAGAGAGTGATGATCACCAGAGATCTGCTTCTTGCGGTATATTACCAAAACCAGACAATAATATTGTAAGCCTCACACTACAACTATTTATTACAGGCTGAAATTGTTATTTGTCTACAGGTCCATTCCTTTTGCATTAAATATTGTGCTTTGACACAAATGAAGCCCACAGATAATCACCGCCAACATTTTTTTTATTGATCTATAACATGATAAAGTAAGAATGCTGAAGTTTCTAGATCCAATCAACTTATTACTAAGTAGGTATCATCTTAAGAGCTTGTTAGTCACCTATTATTTGAGAAATTAAAGAGTTTTGAATAATTTTTTTTTGGAGAATGTGTGGTTAAAAAGTAAAGAAACTTAATTGCTTTGTGTAGAATATTTTATTGTATGAATGTGTGATGGAGAATGTTCATATAGCAAACAATTTAAAAATTTAAAGGGTGACAAGCTGGGGCTAAGTATATTGTCCCAAGGCACAAGTTCAGTTTCACAGTTAGCCGGTCATTATACCAACAGATCTCTTTAAATAATAACATTGTGTCAATGTATCATAATTTTGTGCTATCATAATTATGAAATTATGATTGTTTCAGAAAATCATAATTAAGCTTCTATTGTCACTTCAACGATGGGAAGTTTTTATTCTACCCACCGAGGGCAAGAGATCAGGACTGTATAAAACCATAAGATCTTATCGTATCAAATTATAAGTGCAAGGAAATACGAAACTATTACAAACCTTGGTGCTTTATATTTGAGGAAATAAGTTTAGTTGACCGTTAAGATGTTGATAGTTAAGTTTTTTGTATCTGCTACAGCAGTCCATGCTTCCCCTCATAATCACATAATTCTGATGGCCTTCAGTATCTTCCTATCCGAGGATGCACTTCTGCAATATAATACCAGTGAATTTTGTAATATAATGAAAACATCCTTTTTGTTATTTTTGCACGAATTTTTCATCAATCCCTGCGATTGATTGTTTCTCCACATGAAAATCCCATCACTGGCTCTTTTCCACATTGGCGAAGCAGAGCACAGCTCTTTATTTGCTTGCAATCTATATTACCTCTTATAACACAGTAGATTTGTTATAGGTGAGGGTCGATCACGTGGCAATTGCATTGTCTAAGGCATATAGATCACCAGTAGTGGACACTATTCAATCTCTCCCACAACATCAACAGGTAACTTTTACTTGCAGCATGTTCTCTTATCTGGATGACTATGTTTTTAGACTGATAACGTCGACAAGAGTTTGTTTTTTCATTATATTTATTCTGATTCCATGAGTGTGGATGACTTTGCTGTTCTGAATGCACTAAATATTTTCTCCACTTTGAATATTGGTTATTTTTGGCAGATCATACTTTGCTCAGCAGTGAAACTTTTCCGAGGGGGAAAGAAGGATGCAACTGTTGGCGAGGTACGCTTCCACCAATTATATAAAAAGTGTAGGAAAATTCAGACAGTGATGTGAATAATGATCTACCATGTGGGTGCAGTTGAACAAATTTTACATGGATGTCTGTAAATCAACTTTAATCCCCCCAGTGGGGATTGTGGAATTCTCAAGCATGTGTAGAGTGCTAGGAGACCAGGTAAACGCATCTTGATTGAGATCAATATTGTGCATGAACATGGATTACACTCAGACTCCATAGAAAAGAAAAGTACACAAGATTGCATTAGCCAATTAATATAACATGGTTCAAATTGCAGGGGATTCTTAAACTAGGACAATCACGAGAAGATAAACTACAAAGAGTTGCATTGAAGATAGATGAAGCAGTAGTTAGTTTTGCACTGCAGGTAGTTGATTCATTTTATTTATTTATTTTTTTTTCTGGTTTATTCTGCTAATCCAATTCTTAAAAAATTGTCGAAGCTTTTGTTTCTCTCTTGAGGGCATGACACCTCTCATTATTATGATCGTTTGTAACAGGAAGTCCGTTTCTTTCGGAGTTGTCTTCAATAATATGGTTACCCTTGATACAAAATTGTGAATCCTTGGAGGCTGTTTGTGCTTAAACATTTGTATAAACCCAAATTTAAAGCAACGAAGGTACTATACAATTACTTTGAAATACTTTTTATGAAAGTTGACAGCATTACAAATTAAGCTCAATTCTTTGATGTACAGATAAGCAAGATTAGGGACATGGGATGGGAGGGATTCAAGTGGCTTTGAATGTTGCTGCGTGTAAACAGAATCTTCCACCCAATGCCCTATTAAAAGTTGCTTTAGAGTTAAATGGCTGATAGACATTCACTGAAGAAGCTTTGAGATATATACTGAAAATAATATTAGAAGTCACAGAAAGATAAATATATTGTATTGAATACTGGATTAATATTTTGTACAAATTCAGATGCAACTTTTCGTTACATGGTTGATTAATATTTACCATTTTTTAGTTAAATGTTTAATTGAATATAATATGCAAAATCCATCTTGCTGTAGTGTACAGGGTTTTGATGTGAAATGGTCATGCTATGGTTCAATGCAATTAGTGGATCAATCATTTTGTTTCTATATATCACCACAACCTAAAGAATATATGCAGGTTAGCAGTCTAGACGTTGCTGTTGTAAAGCAAAAAGAATATAATGAAAACACACTCATCTCTCAGGTGGGTGTAGGCAAGCTGAATCATGCTATTTTATTATTCTTTCTAGTTTCAACATGTTACTCTCCACCTGGATCTAGAGCACTTGAAAACTACCAGCACTTTCCTTAGATCAATGAGACATGCTAAAAGTGTTCATGGTTTCGAGCAGTTACCTTGTGTATACATGTAAATAATAAGCATACAAGAATAACTTGGAGACAGGTGAAAAAATTTATACATCTTCAATATGCAAATCATACGCTCTTATTAAATAATGAACTTGTATCGTACTAGGGCCTTGTTCGGACATAGGTACGGATTTACATTGACCGTTGGGATCCTTCAAAGGGATTAGCTAAACTTGCTAAACAAATCCATCGTGTAAGAACCGATGTAAACATCATGAATGTTGGATCAAACCTTCAAGAAAACAGGGGGAATTAGAAGTTTAAGCCGGAGATTGTAGTATGAACTTTTAGACATGAAGAACTAAGACTTCAGGGCACATTACAAAGTCGCTTTCTTTAAGAAGTTATTTGTCCCCACTATGCACATGGGAAAAACAAATACGCCTCCAAGATACGATGGAACCCGAATGTGTTGTTTGCCTCATGCACAATTGAAAATAACCTAAACACAACGGAGAAATGAAGCCGTATAATTGAGTTTTATATTTTGTCTTTCTGGTATAACAAAATACAAATAGACTTGGTAAAGAAGAAAGATTGCAGAATTTTTTATAGAAGAAATATAGAAAAACTCAAAATTTCATTAACTCCTTTGCTTGGTATATTGGTCGTTCTTAACATTAAAATGGTTGAATCTATTTATAGAATCACAAACACCTTTTCGCTATAAGTTACAACTCTTCATTGGTGACTTTAGGACTCAAAATACATCATAAAAGACCAAATAAACCTCAAAACACACTATTGGAGTTGTTTTTGTAGCTCATCTGCATTGAATATCAGCAACGATACGCTATCTAGTAGATTGTAGGCCAAAGCTTTGGCTAGATTTCTTCCATGTGTGACTCTATGTTATTCGAGACATATTTTTAACCTCTGATATATTTTCTATCCTCGTCGCTAATATCCAAATGAAATTCTTTTGAAAATTCTTTGACAATCCTCCACCAGTTTAAAATGAACGTATTTTTGAAAAATTCCTAGTAAAGGTTCACAATACTTATTGTTCGGTGAAATCTCGCAGGCGTAAGGGATCATTGACAAGTAAATAGATTTGAGCGAGTTAAGAGTATCTTTCCACATGGAATAAATTTCAATACAAATTTACTAGTTATGTATGGAATTCGAATTATGTAAACAAAAGAAAGTTTGACGTGATTTATGCTCAATTAATCTAAGAAAACCATAAAAGTGAGGTTTTTATCAATTTATGAATGATTGTATTGGAATTAGAATTTGCCTATTGCTTTCTAGTTCGATTCTCAATTATGTAGTTTAATCATATTCATGCATTCTTGACAATCGATAGAGTTAATGTATTTAACTTTCTTTTTCAAGATATATTAGCTCTGTTCTAAACACGACCCGAGTATGTTACTAACCTAAATTCGAATTATTAGAATGCATTAAATTCTAGATTATCAATATGATAGCACATGTGATAAATATCATTCCTAACATCTATTGCACATATATTAATTTTGTCGCGTTCTAGACTTAATGTGACTTGTAAGTCTCCAAATACGATAACAAGCAACTAATTATCTAATTAGTGATCAAACAATTAAATAATGCAACGTGCATGCAAAATTAATCAAAAATCGTAAGAAATAAACTAAATTACTAGTCTAGGTGTCATCTTCATCCAACACCAAAACATATCTAGTATAAAAAAAAAATGGAAAATCATCATCTGGATCATGAAATAATATAAAAGATGTTGATCTTCAAGTCTAAACTTGGATTCTTCAATTTCTTGATATAATTAACCTTCAAATCTTGTTAGACCTTGATCTTCACTATCAAAAGTGATGAATTGGCATCTTATTTTTTATGATATTATTGTGTATAAAGAGGCTAGAGAGAGATCCCCCCATGCGTAGCCCTTGTTTTGTATTCATAAGAGTTAAAAAATATGTCAAAATCGTATCTAATTTGGATTTGAAAAGAGTTTGAATCGCAAAAGAAAACTACTGTTTCATCTGTAGAAATAGCTCATATGCACGCATTAACATAAATACCGCACACACATCATTGAACCAAATGGCTCTTGGGTCACGAAAATTAATGTATTGCATGTGCGCCAAAATGGCCCGTGCATGCAGGTTCGCGTTGTTTCATCTCTGTATAGTTTTTTGTGTTTTGGTTATAACTTTCTTTCATGATATTTGATTGAGCTGATTTAAAATGTGTTGGAAAGAAAATTCTAAAGGATACAAATCTCTACAGGTACAAATTTCCTAACTCAAGTGTTTGCTGCCTAAAAAATGGATCTCAATTTGAGATTTAAAATTCGAAGCATAATTTTTTCATTTGAAATTTGATTTATGAAAATACTTCAACTATATTTCACTCATTTGACCTCCAATTGCATTCAATTGATCATATGTGATCTTCAATCATCGTTTTATGGTCCAAATCAACTATTGAATATTTACACTTTGGTCCCCAAATCTTGATGTAACGCCACGTTTCTGTATTCCTAATTTTTGCAAATATGATATTGCGTAATGATATGTTTAATGCTTAATTTAATAATTTATTGTCATTGTTACTAATAATTTGTTTTAGTAAATTATACCTTGAACGTCCTAGTTGATGAACATGCCAATTAAAGTTAATTATATTATGCATACAATTCAATAAAACTCGAGATAAACTATATGATGTACTTATTTTATTTTTTATAATTTATTAAGCAACCATTTATATCTATATAGAAACTAGGCAAGTTCTTAGAATTTGTCATTTTCTTTTTTCAAATTAAATCTATTTAAGTTAATTAGATGTAATAGAATCATATTGGGACTAAATAAGTTAATAGATGAAATTGTTTGGTTTTCATTAGTTTAATTAGCATAAGTCACTCCTAATTAAATACCATGAAATTAAATGTAAAAAGTTCCCTAATTCTATACCTATTACAGCTATCAAAACCAAGAAAAACATCCAAGTCAAACTCTCATTCCTTTTGCTTGAGATTTTTATGAATTCTTTTTACAACAAAAGCAATCATCCTGTGGCCCATTTGTAAAGCAAACAGAAAGGACCTTGAAGAGAATTATTGGTGAAGAGAGATTCAAAGTAATTCTTATTTTCATTATATTGATGTAAACTTCTAATAGTTGTTTTTATTATATTATTTTTAGGATAAAAGTGTTTATGTGCATAAACATGTTATCATAGGCAGTGTATATAGTTGTAACTTGGTGTTGATTCTTACAATTCATTATTGTTAAATTAAAGTTGTTGCTTTATTCTTTGACTTCAAAGAATTTTAGAATTGTACTAAAATAAAAATTTGGGATGGCATTATGACTTCTAGAAAATTCAGATTTATTAAACCCATGTTTGATTTTATGTAGAATTTATACAAAATCATATTCCTTGATCGAAAATTTGATTGCTGCTTGAAAGTCTTAGTTTTTAAATTTTTTAATATATTCNAAGCATAAAGTAAAATAAAATGAAATAGCTTAATAGAAAATTGTTATGACTCGATATTTGATGATATTTCTAGGGGGGTCAATGATAAGTAAACAAATGATGGTGTACATTGATGTTTCTAAATAAATGGTAATGATTTAGGACTTGTTGCACGTTGAGTTTGTGGGCAGTTAGGAATATCCCCATTGGCTATTTAAAATGTAAATTGTCGAGGATCCAAGGTAAGTGAATTTCCCATTATCTTCATGCATACGTTATATCGTTAAATGTATAAATGTGTTATCTAAATTGATTATTATGTGAATTTGATATTTAATTATTACGTTTTATATCATTTTTACTGCTTCTCGTGACATATTCATCACATCAATACATTCATAAGCATACATGAAGTTTCAAGAAAGATAAAATTTTCGAAATGTTAATGAGCCAATGAATATTTTTAAAGATACGTATCCTAATGTTACGAGGTGTATGTCTATGTCATGAAAGGTGTGAGTGAGAAATGGGGTGTGGAAAATCGACGCACCCAACCAATGTTCAAAGTTCAATATTAATATTAATGTTAACCGCTTTGCTGTACTATTGATGAGACTTGACCGAGTTCCAAAACATAATTGTCTGCATTCTGATTGGTTAGGCGATACACCAAGTGAGCTTACAACGTCAATGTTAAGTTTTTTAAATAAATGAAAGAATGGGGAATACATATTGAAAAATACTTTTTATCTTAAAGTAATTCACGTGCACATCATAAGCATACATCGTGTGCATGAGATTTGCTTACTGAGTATTGGTTCATTTCATGTTATCCTTCCTCATTTTTAGATGATGAAGGCCAATGTATGCATGAGGTTTGCTTACTGAGTATTAGTTCATTTCACGTTATCCTTCCTCATTTTTAGATGATGAAGGCAATGATTTGAGACGGCTATTTGTAATGCGATGGACTTAGTACTAATACATCTAAATATTGACTCTTTTTAGAAAATAAAGTTAACATTTAATTTAATTTTTTTTTCATTCAAGTACAAAAATTTTATACAAGTTATGTTCATAAATGAAGTCAATGATCATCATATTAAATAAAAATTTAATCACTTCCACATTTATGATTTTAAGAGCAAATGAAATGACAATACTTCGAAATCTAAGTAGCTAGATTTGGGGTATTACATTTGAATT